GCTACCCTTGGTGGCGGAATGCCAACATTTATTTATTTCAAATGGCAGGCGTTTTGATAGATATCATTAGCCATTTAGCTGATTTCGGGCTTCACAGAGAGAAGGTTCATCAAAGTAACAGAAAGTCGAGGGCTAGGGAACAGAAGAGCGATTCACAGATGTAAAAGAGGCAGACAGACACAAAGGTAGAGAAAAAGGTAAGGTGAGTACTGTATAGGGGGTCGAATATGACAACCAGGGGGGTCGTGGTAGTTTGAAGTCAGAAGTCAAATGCCGGTTAAGAAACTTTTTTGCCGTATGAGTATACGTTGCCCAGGGTGCAACACGTGGAGGTAAGTCTATCGCACACCCCATCATAAACAAGTGTGTTGTGTTAGTATTGCATGGCAAGCAAGAATGACTCTTCCTAAACGATAACTTATAATTGAATTCGGCTTTTTTATGTTTACCTTAGTACCTTCAATGAAGAATCATTTAAACCAATTAAAGCATTGAATTATTGCATGACTCCCCGAGTATAATCGATATTTCTTGAAGCGAATAAAACAAATAATTAAATCCTATCAGCAATGAGTTCAATGGTAATAATAAAATTTTTCACCCAAGAGCAGCCGTGATGTTAGCCAAAAAAGTACAAAAGTCTATAAAATTTTTTTTTGTTGTTGAACAATTTCAAGAATTACGGCGCTTTGATTATCAAAGGCCTATTACTATTACAGCAAATCTACAGCCTATTTGTTTTAATCTGCTAATATCGAATAAGGTAGTCATGCTAAGTGGAAAGCTAACATAAAGATGTAGCGAGAGAGGGAGAGAGGAGTTGAGTGCGGGGAGAGCAAAATTCAAAGTTCATGATTTGTCCCCCCACCCTTCAACCAGACTCTCTCCATCGTGATTCCATGAAGTGCTTTTCATCCGGGCAGTTTGTACAATCAGGAAGTGTTGATGATACCTCTGCACTCAACTCTTCACGCTTTGCGGGAGAAGACAAATGATGTAGCCCGATGGCCCAAGATGAGGTATTAAGAGCTTCATATAACCCAAGTTATTACCATTATTGCCTTATTTCTGAAGGAATGTTAATTTCGACTTATTCTTTCAATCAGGATAGTAGGAAACTTGATTCGAGATTTTCCCACTTTAATTTAAAAAAAAGCTAATGACAATAATACGGTCGGAATTAATACGGTTACTAATCTTAGCAGGCATTCTAACATGCTTACTACCAATATAGTCCCCAATTTGAATAAGAAATAGTTAAGTTTGATGAAATCATGCTTCCAAAAGTTTCCTTGTTAGATATTCAGGCAATTTTTCATGAATCGATACGCTCTCGATGAGCTAATTAACATATCATAGCAAATTATTATAAATAACTTGTTTTAATTGATTAAAAGCATATAATTTTGTGAGTTTGCACACTTTTTTCTAAGACTAAATTGAAAAGTGCGAAATAGATTGTTTCATTTCAGGAAACCTAAAATTAGGCATGAAGTGAATTATGCATCCAAAACTGCGACTAAAGTTACCCAACACTTTTATTGTTTTATTTTAATTTTCTTGTTGCAACAACAAAATGTTTACAGTAAGGAAGTGGACGTTTCAAAGAGCGATTAATTTTTTTTGATTAAAAGTCAAATTAAATTTACAGGGGTGTGTGAGGTGGGGTTAGTCTACTTTGCGATTAATGTAACCTTTCCTCGTAATTTTGTTATATTGATTTTAAATTAACAACCTCCACTGTGTGTTTGAACTGAAATCATATGGAATAATTTTGTACCTGGCATAAAAACACCAAACAATTGATTTTTCTTACGCGCATTCAGAAGCTAATGAAATCAAATGAAAAGTTGACCTCATATTAGGAGGTATAAGTAATCACTTGAACTCGGTTAGATGAGAAATTTGTTATTTTTGAATAGAATGGACCAAGTAAAATTGTTCTCCAATGGAGAAACGTTTGGATTCAAGGAGTATGCAGTCAACTTGCCCATTTTCTACGCCAACATATCACGGACTGCATACTCAAGGGCATATATAAAATATGCAATTGGTCAAAAAAGACATTGAAGAAAACTGGTATCTAATTAAATTTATTTATTTCAAATGGCAGGCGTTTTGACAGTTTTCATTAACCATTTAGCTGACCTCGGGCTTCACTGAGAGGAGGAGGAGCATCAAAGTGACAAAAGTCGAGAGAGGGAACAGAAGAGTGATTTACAGATGTAGAAGAGACAGACAGATACAAAGGCAGAGAAAAGGTAAGATGAGCACCGTGAAAGTGGTAGAATATGACATTCAGAGGGGCCATTGCAATTTGAGGTCAAAAGTCAACTGCCGATAAATAGACTTTTTTCCGTATGAGTATACGTTGCTCAGGGTGCCCCACGTGGGGGTAAGTCTATCGCACACCCCATGGTCTCAATCCAAGCCCAAGAGTATTTTTGCTTTTTTTTGTTATTTCTTCTTTTTAGGAAGTTCATCTATTTCGAATTGGTCGATAATTGGGTGTAAAATTATTGTATTCTAATCCTTAAGGGATTAATTATGAAATTTTATAAAGGATACTCTTCCGTTTTCATTAATATTATTATCTAGAAAATAGCTTTTTGCATGAATCAATTCTAATACTACGAATAGAAATTGCAAATTTTTGCTTCACATTGGTTCATTTTGTGGTGAAAATAAGTTACCGAAAAAAATAGTTTGTTAGTAAATTAAAGTTTCTTCGTTGGTAATTAACTTTGTCATCACTTACTCAAAAAACTTCGTGTCTTAAAGTTAGTCTGCGGTGCTTAATTAAAATTGAGCATTTCAGAGAGGAGGAGAGAGAGATTGTTTCCTTTCCTGCAGTTTGCAAAGAAATTGAACTTAATGAAAATTAACAGCATCAAAGGCTCCACAAATGTTTTTTTTTGAAACAGCAAAACAAATGTACAACTCGCGAGCAGTGAAATTCAATTTATATGTTTCTGTAGAGAGTAAATTTCACTCTTCCTTCCATGGATGATATAAGCTAAGCACGCAGAGATAACTAATAGTCAGGAATAAATTCAATCGGAAGCAGAGAACCACTCGAAACAGCCGAGATACACACATGTGAAAAGAAAGCAGTATTTCTTCAATGGACATTGTGACATTGTAGGCAATGAATGCTCCGACACACCTGCTAAAAAGGGGCAACAATTTTGCACGAGTATAGACGAACAGATGGCTTTCCACACAATGAAGAATTCAAGACTTCGAGAAGTAACGAACTTAAAATTCTCTAACAGGGGAGAAGTAGTGAACAGTGGCACTCTCCGATATAGCCGACTGGCCAAGAATCGAATCGAGTTTAAACTACGTACTGGACACGATTGCTTGGCAAAACACCTTCACAGATTGGGAGTATACACTCAACCCAAATGGCCTCTATGTAACCTACAGGAGGAAATGGAGAAGACCCACCTGAATCGGTGTCCAGCTCTAAAGGCAACGACGGAAAGCCAGAGATATTGGGAAGCAAGAAGACAGCTAATGAACTGCTATTAATTAACTGCTATAAATGTACCCCCCACCCTTAGGGGAAGCTGCAGTCAAAGTTTAAGGGCTAATGATAAATATCATAAAGCCTGCCATTTGAAATATATATACGTTGCTAGAATTCTAGATAATGATATGATGTTGGAAAATCAGTTAAAATGGCATGAGACTATTGGATAAATGGGATTTTGTTTACCGTCTGCATAATCCCCACCCCCCACTGCTATCTAATTAACTTCCAGACAGCCAGGAAAGCCATGGAAGTCCGCTCTACGCGAGCCCGACGAAATTGATGTGCCGAACTTTGAGTCGATGGTCTGCGTCTTCTCATCCTCACGTTCCCCTTCCCCCGCCCCACCCTTCAGCCACCCCACCCTCCATCGTTTTTCAGACAGCGGTACACTCTGTTGTGTCTTGACAACGCAAGTTCGCCCTCGAGAAGTGTAGCCGCGTCCCATCGTAACACTGTCTCGACACACACACACACACACACACACACGTACCCTTGGTAAGGGGATTTTACTGCGTTTATTACGGAGTAATTCGCGCACTCTAGTTGCCTTTAAATGCTCCAAAACCTGTCTTGAGAACCACCTTCACTGCTCATCTTGGATAGAATATGGACATCATGAGACGTTCTACCTATTGGTTGTGATTAGTCATTCACGGATATCGAAACCAACGTCTAGGGAATTTTGGAGACCAGAAATGTTTCTTATTCTTCAAAAGACCTTATGAGAAATATGAATTAATTCTGTTGACCTCATCTTTAGATTTGATCCCTTATAAAGACGCAAATTTATTTTTCCTCTTGAAGGTTGGAAAGTATCTTTTCATGGGCGGTCACATTGTTATTATCTTCCACTGCACAGAAAAATCATGAGAAAGTTTACATCTGGGGGGGGGGCGAATTTAGAAGATTAATCGCATATTCAATTTCATTTTTTTTGGCAAGTCTACTGTAACCTCCAAAGGCGAAGTCAATATTTCAATCCTATTAAGTAAAATATTCGAAATAATTGACTGTGTGTGTGTGTGTGAGAAAAGGGCTTTGGAATCACTCTTTTCGAAAGCTCATTGCTCTTTACTTGACCAGAATTAAATATATTTCGTCAAAGAGTGTGTCTCGATAAGTATTGATCACAGATCTTGGTTAAATGATGCCAGTTTCCACTACTTTCCACAAATCACAATCTTGGCTTGTTAATATTGAGGGTAAAACTGGAAGTAAAGAAATGCGCTATTTCAATAAATTCCTGTGAAATACCAAAGCCGAAATATTTCTTTTCCCATTTACCACAAAGTTTGCATTGAGAAGAAATGAATCCACGGTAACACTAAGAGTTATATGTTTATTTCAAATGGCAGGCGTTTTGATAGATATCATTAGCCATTTAGCTGACTTTGGGCTTCACAGAGGGAAGGTTCATCAAAGTAGCAGAAAGTCGAGGGGGGGGGCGAACAGAAGAGCGATTCATAGATGTAAAAAAGGCAGACAGACACAAAGGTAGGGAAAAAGGTGAGGTGAGTGCTGTGAAAGTGGTGGAATATAGTTTATAGTGGGATGATGGTAGCTTGAAGTGAGAAGTCAACTGCCGGTTAATAGACTTTTTTGCCGTATGAGTATACGTTGTCCAGGATGCACCACGTGGAGGTGGGTCTATTGCACACCCCCACTAAGAGTTATATAAATGCATAAATGTACTTTGTTACTAGGAGAAAAACTTTTGCAATTATATTAACCGGATAAATCGATTTGGCTGAGATATTACTGAATTGCTTCATTGGAAATGGCCGCTACAAAAGAATTAGGATTCTCATTTAAATAGCTTTAGTTTTCTCATGAAAGTCATTTTAACGAAATCGCCTATACCTATGAGCCAGAGTAAAAAAAGGCATTTTAATAAGTTATCTTACAAGACTCGAAGTAAAGCCAGTGCTTGGGAGATTGACAATTCAGCGTAATATTTCTTCCATTCTTCTATAAAGCTTAAAGATAAAAAAAATAATTTTTGTTAAACTCAGAGCCCTAAACTTCCGGAGGGAGAGATGACTACTATATTTATTTTCAAGAAAGTAGGCTGGATTTTTTTCAGTTAAAAGCAAAGTTCATTTTTTGTGATAAAAAGAACGCATTACCTTTATTAGCATAAAATTCTTTCTTTTATTTGGAATGAGTAGTGGGGAATTAGTTTGAATGATATAAATTTTTCATATGGGGAAGCATGAATTGCACGCAAAATATTGTAGAAGCATCTTAAAATTTGATAGTCGAGATCTTGAGATCGTGATAATTCCACAATGATGTAAACTCTCGATAACTACTTAATCGGAAACACAGTAATGTTAGTTATGGGCTGTGCGATAGACTTACCTCCACGTGGTGCA